GCATAGTTGAGGTACTTAAATGTAATTATAATTTTGTAAAAGCATTTGAATGGTAATATATTCGATGCTATAATTTTTGGTATTAAGAATCTAAGTGATAAAATGGTGAAGGACCATTTTGTGTAAATTGGAAAAGTTGGTTCCAATGTTAAAAGGAATTGTTAAGTATTGAGTATTTTGATAGAAAATGAGTTCCAAGTATATTATGAAATTGTTATGGGATGTGTTTATGTTAGTACAATACTAACATAAGTATTGTTATGAATTTATGATTTTATACATATTGTGATTTAACTGTGATTGAAGCAAATTAAATATAAAAGAGTTATTGTGGATCGTAGTGAGACATACATATTGTGGATTATATAAAGTGTCAAGGTGAGTGAAATACATGCATGATATGTTACATAGATGTTTTATACATCGTGTACATAGATGTTTTATACATCATCTGGAAGACTTGTGATAAGTCGACCTTGTTTTATCAACATGAGATTTGATATGGAAGTTATTTTGTGTATGAATTGCCTTAATGTTTATACATGGTTATACGTTTCCATGGATGATTTAATTGATGACTGACTATATGCCCAAATATGTTATTGAGGTTCAGTGGTATTAATGGCATGCCATAGAGTTTAGTATCTGCAGAATTAAGTAGTACTATAGTGTCAAATAAGATACATAGTACAAGTCAGGTGGGTAAAACCCGACCTCAGCACTACAGTGCATTATTAGGTGAGCAATGCTCGACCTCATCACTTTTGTGCAATATTTGACTACTATATCGGGTTCCTCATAGATTGAGAATTGTGGGCAATAGTGGTGGATAAAAATGATTTTATTATATTATGTTTTTTTTATTTTTACATGGAAATTCATGCATGAATTGTATTGCATTGTTTATTGTTTTAATTACCTCATTAAGTATATACTTAGCGTGTGATGATTTTAACGCGTAGGTAAAAAGTCAATAGTGGAATAAAGAGTTCAAAGCGACATCAAGTATCGATGAGTATATTTCAATATCAGTAAGACATCCTAAGATGTAATGTTGATTTTATTAGTGGCATGTAATTATTAATGTTCTACTTGCTTTGTTGAACAAATTTAGAAACAAAATGGTAATTTTTATGAATTTATATGTATTTTCGAAAATTACTGTAGCAATATTGTAGCAGTGCATCGATGCACAATTTTAATTTGAATTTTTGGTGCATCGATACACTGTTCACTGGTCACGGTTAATGTTCACTGTTCACGGTTAATGTTCACTGTTTACTATTCATAAAAAGAAAATCTTTTTTTTTTAAAATTTGTTATAATGAAACATAATTCATATGATATGATAATTTTGATAATATCATTTATCATTTTAAGAAAACAAATTTTAAATCACTTTTGAAGAGGAAATGGTTTTAAAATTCAAGTGACATCTATAATCTGTATAGGTATAATTATACGGGTTATGGGTGTTACATGTCGCGACTCAAATGTTGAAAAGTTGTATCAAACCAATTTAACGGTATTCGACCACCGTTGAAATTAGGCGAGACACCTCCAAAATACTCAACGCAAAAGGAATGTCAGTCACCATCAGCCACCCCATAAATCACATCCCCATCTACTGGAAGCCTCAAATGTATGAACACATCCTCCAGCGTAATAGTGCACTCTCCATACGGAAGATAGAATGTGTGTGTCTCTGGTCTCCACCTCTCAACCTGAGCATAATTAATGTTTTGTTCAAGATTATGGTTCCCTTCAAATTTCGCTACGTAACCGAATCAAGCCTCGACTAAATATGACCAAACACGACTAGGTATCTCTAACTTAACATTATATATGAATGGATCTAATATACGATATCTCTCCTAATTTAATAAATAGTATACAAATTAAAATATAAACTAATACTAAAATATTAAATAAATAAAACATTCACAACAATTAAAATAACAACACAATTTAAAATTATTACCGTATTGGCAAAATGCCTCGAGATATGATTCTCATCTAAACGTAGCAACCCGCCTTCCATTTTATAACTATAAAAAGTAATAAAAAAATTAGTAAGATAAAATTTAATAAAATAATAAAATATTTTACCTTCTTAATAGATATATTGATAATTTGGAGAACAAGAGAATTTGAGATTTGAGTATGGTTTGAGGGTTGTGTTGAGTGTGATATTTATAGAGAGATGGGAGGGGGATGGGTGGTAATCAACGTGTGAGACGGACGGCTCGACTGAATCAAAGGAAAGGATCCGCGCCCTTCGTACGTGTCACACGTTCATCGAAGGCGAGAATGCTTTCCTTACGTGGTGTCAGCTCGGACAGAATCTCGCGAAGGCACAATGACGATTCACGCTTTATTGTCACCGTGTCAGAAAGAGTGCTAGATCGGTAATATTAGAGGAAAAGGTACCTAACAGATAATTATTGGGTTTAAGGGTGATTTTTCAATAGAAACACCCTCTTAATATCTATACATATATATTTTTTATATCTATTTATACTCTCATTCTTTATATTATTTAGCATTTATAACTCATAGTCTTGATATATATATGGAATGACACCACGATCAAATTATTTTATTAAATTTTAATATTATGTCATTACATATTTATTTTAATTAAATTTAACCCTCAAACATTCTTATTTTATTAGATTTTAATATTTTTGTTTTAATAATATTTATGATGCCGTCAGACCAATCAAGTCCAATGCAAGATTTTCATACATCAATACTATCAGATTCGACGTATGTTGTATGCGCATCGATGTTGAGAGTAGTCATCTACCAGTACGACCACAACCCACACCAGTCAATGACCTCTTATTTGTCGGTGCCATTCTTCAAAATTTTGCTAATTCCATTTTAGCAGAGATTATTGATCGAAGACATCTACAATCGTTATTCCTTATAGGTCATCATCAATTACTGTATAACTCGAGCGCGTCAATGAATCAATCTGTCTCATCATTACATTGTGATGCTAATAAACTGTCGACGAAGACGACGATCATGTTAAAAATTATCTAATACAGAAAAATTCACGAGGTCGTATATGAGTAGATTTTCACCTTTATTATAACTATTAATATCAATAATTATAATATAATATAAAATTTATATTTATATTTATATTTAAATAATATATTTTTAAGTATTTATCAAACCAAAAGTTTAAATAGGCACATATTATTTTATTATCAATTATTTAAACATGAATTGTTTACAATTTTTTTTTTTTTGGAATTGAAATAAGCCAAAAAAACACAAATTATTTTAACACTAGTTAAGTAAATTAATTAATATTATAAAATAAAAGAGTTCATTAAAATATGAGAAGAATAAAAAAATATTAAATATTTAAAAAATAAGTGAAATAAAATAATATAAACCTATTAAATTTTAAAATAATTAAATATAATTATATTTGGGAAAGATGTGTTTCATCATCCACGTGTATCCATTTGATCTAATTATAAATATTTTTTTTACACATGGTATTTTAGGAAATGATAGTAATTCCTTAATTTTATTTCTTAAATAATTACAATAATAATATTATTTTAGTAAATTTGCCCCATCGGTTAAAAGTTACACGGTATGTATGTTCAAAGAGACATGATCATGTGCGGTAGTCTTAATATACGGTTAAAAAAAAGATGTTATCGTTTTTGTTATTATTTAAATAACAAAATCGATAAAAAATTATCGAAAACATTATTATTTCTGTCGGTTTTGGACGTTTTACCGGTTTTGTTATTTTTTTCTACTGATTTTATTATTGTATGACATTTTATCAAAAATATTAAAAAATATTAATATTTTAAATAAAAATAATAATATTTTAAATAAAATTTTACCGATTTTATTATTTACAACAACAACAACAACAACAAAACTCAATTCTCATATGCAATGGGATAAGGGGGAGGTAGGGTAGTAGGCTGCTCCCAACGCCAGGTTGTGAGTAGCTTCCGTGGAAGACCTCCGGCAGTCAGAAAATTAAAAATATAAATAAAATGCAATGCATGTAGGAATAAATATAAAAATACATAGTTGAACAGTAATCATATACAGTTATTAATATTATTAATATCATATGCGCGTACAGTAATCCATAAAAAAAAAAATTCCAGGGAGTCGGTCGACAATCACGTTAGCTGTCGACGGGAATCACTTCAACGTTTTTCACGTTTGTACTTGGTCCAAAAAAACGGCAGGAGAACGTAAACTCAAACCATGGATTATTCAACACAAATAAAAATACTACTAATTCACAAAAAAAAAGTTCCTATAACGAAATGCTTAAGTTAGCATTTAAATCTTAACCAAAATAATTTATCTTAAATAAATATATGATTTTGTACTTTAAATACCCCTTAGACTGATTTTAAGTTTTTTTATCGACACTAATTACGAGCTCATGTCTTAGTCTTTTTTTTGCCCTTTAATTTTAAGATTTCGTACAGACATTAATCGTACACTTGATTTTGATGGATAATTTTTTTAATAAAATTTTTTTATATCCATAAAAACTCAAATATAAGACCTTATTTAAATATATTCGACTGTTTATCGTTTCAACTAACCTCTGATTCATATCTCAATCTTTAGTCAAACGTTTGGTCCCTCCAAACTCAAACCATGGATTACTCAACCCAAGCTCATCTAGTAAACCCCACGCTTCAATATTTTTCGCGTTTGTACTAGGTCAAAAAAAAACGGCAAGAAAATTCAACTCGCTTCTTTTATCACTGCGTTTCTGTTTTATGGGGAACAGATACATAGTTTATATTAAAAACTAAATTTATGAAATTTAAAATAAAATAAAATAAATAATCAATTAAATATATAAAAATATAAAATTTAAAAAAAACGACCTATCATTGCTAACCATGACGCAGTATGGTTTGTTTTGCTAAGTTCCTTCCTCTGTATATATATAATTGATAGCTTTGTAAAGAAAAGATGGAGGAGCCATGGAACCTTCTCCTGCTGCTGCTGCTGCTGCTTCATTGTCCAGAATGGATCGAACTTGCCTGGAGAGAGAAGGAAGAATGCGTTTGCGGCAACTCTTTTCTCACCTCCATTCCCTCCTTCCTCCTCAACCAACCAAGGTACGTACTCCACCACAATATCATGGGGGTTTTAGTACCAAAAATATTGAATGGGATCAAACTAATCATCGTAGATGTCGGATCACCAAGTGTTAGAACAAACAACCATATACGTGACGCAGCTGCGGAATAGAGTGGAAGAACTGAAGCAAATGAAGTGGAGACTAGGAGAGAAGCACCGCAAAGGCGAAAGAAGTTCAAGTTGGATATCCCCTCCAGTTATGAGTATAATAGATTTGGATGCAACACTGGAAGTAAATCTGATATTGGAGTGGAAAGGAAAGTCCCAATTATCCCACGTTATCAAAATCCTCATGGAAGAAGGAGCACAAGTTGTCAGAGCTGCTGCAAACTTCACTGCCGGGGATAGGATCATATATTCAATTCATTGTCAGGTACACTTCATTCGTAAAACAATATATTGAATTTTGATCCATTTAGAGGATCAAAAAAAATGTGATATTTCTTATTGCGTACATTTTTTGTGTTTCCCGCAGCCAATCAGTCCTAGAATTGGCATCGCAACCTCAAGAGTTCAGCAGAGATTGGAGAAGTTGGTTTATTGAAGCAAACTAAGGACTAAGAAGAGAAAATTTGTGTATTTCTACGGTGTTGGTAGTGATTTTTAGTGTCATAATTATAAGAAAAATGTTTATTTTAATACGTTAGTGGTTTATTTATATAAATATAGTGTATTCATATATTTATTTTAAATAAATCAAAATTTTAAATAAATTTAATTAAATTTAATTAATTAAATTTTAATTAAATTTAATTAGAAATAATTAATAGGGTAAATACATAAGTGGTCCCCCGACTATAGAGTACTATTTTATTAAGTCACTCGACTATTAAAAGTTACAAAATGATTCTCCGACTATAGAGTTGGCTTTGTTGAGTCCATCGACTATTAAAAGTTATAAAATGATCAATCGGCTATTCATATGTTTTAAACTCGTCATTTTTCGTTAAAAATTATCGACATTCTGAGCTGAACGTAAGCATGCTGGCCGTAATATGATAAAAATGACTATTATATCACAGTCATCATGTTAACGTTCAGCTCAGATGACTGTAAATTTTTTATTAGAAAATGACGAGTTTGAAACCTAGTGAATAATTAAGGAATTGTTTTGTAACTTTTAACAGTTGAGGAACTCAATAAAGAAATACTCTATAATCGGAGACTATTATGTAGTTTTAAATAATTGAAGGACTTAATAAAATAATATCATATAATTGAGGACCATTTGTGTACTTCACGCTAATTAATATTCAATGAATTTAACTCAAAGCAAATCTCCACAAGCAAGACGCTGTTTTGCCCTCGTTGAATGCAACGAATGTGGTCCATAATCTATTATATGTTTTAGTTTTAGGAATTGGCGGTTTGCGATTTGGTTCTACATTAAACTGCAGCGCAAAAATTAATATTTCAAGAGGATTTTTTTAAAATTACATTTATTTGAGAATTATTTTATAATCTACGCGAATTAAATTGTTTTATTAGTTAAAGAAATTATTGTTATATTCAAAATTTTTGAGGTTGAGTATCATTGACTAAAGGATATTTTCATATTCATTGTTAAACTATTGAGAGTACTTAAAATATATACTAAAATTTGTAATCATTTCAAATTAATAAAAAAATGAATTATTTTAGTAAATTATCGTTTATAATAAAATTTTATTTTCTTTTATTCTCAAATTATTTCATTTAATTTTTTAATGTCTAAAGTCTCCTCGCATTAATAGTTCCTTTAGTATCACAATCGGATTTGTTGACCGTCATATTTCTCTGAATCTCTTTGCCCACACTGTCAATCTTTGTCGATTGATGTTACATTTAAAAATAATAATATTCCTTAAATAATTTTAAACTCGTGAGATACATGTATTTTTGTGTCGGTAATGATGATTTTTTTTTTTTAAAAATAAGATGAATAGGATTTATGGATTGGTCTGTTTCCTTTGTCCCAAACCAGCAGCTTGACCCAAGCCTTTGTCTGATATAAACCCAGCGACAATCTACCAGTGCATTGGGCTCTTTCGGCTGCTTCGTCAAATTAATAAGATCTGAGCCCATGATTACAAGTAGAAATCGGTTTTTTTAGCCCAATAACCCTAGCGGGTTAATTTATTAGGTTATGATTGCGATTATGATGAAATTGAAATAAAGTGTATTGATTGTATTGTAGGTTTTAAAAGTTCAATACTCAAAATGAAAATAGCATAAAAATTTAGGGACTGTTTATGTAGTTTACCCTAATTTTTAATGCAACGCAATTTGTTGTTTAGGTGATATGAAAAAATTTTAATGACTCCATGGGGGAAGTGAGAGGAGATGATGGAAAAAGGCATATTGAACAATTGAAAGATGAGAGCAAAGTCACCAACTTCAACTTGGTAGCTATCCGTATTTCACATGCCCATCATTCATTTTTCACAACTTGCAATGGGAACACTTTGTCAGCCCAACCCTACCCATCCATATTTTAAATTTCAATAAAAATAAAATTATTAGCAGGATTTTCTCAACTTAAAAACAGTTTAAATCTAATGTGTTCAATGGCGGATTCAAATAGGCATACGTTATATATTAACGACATAAAAATTTTATGGGTAAATTATAGATTTGGTAATTGAACTTTCATATGATTCATATTTTACTCACCGTACAAAATTTTCAATTTGCTCACACAACTTTATAGATTGAGTTTTTTTGTTCACTCCGCCGTTAAACTTCTCATGCCGTTATGACGTGGCTCAGAGAAATAATTTTTTAAATGTTAAAAGCCACGAATGCTATGATAGGGTAAAAAATAAAATAAAAGGTAAACTGCAAATTTGATAATTGAACTTTCGTATAATTCATATTTTACTTACTCAACTTTATAGACTGAGTTTTTTTTTGTCACTCTGCTATTAAACTTCTCATCGCCAACGATCATCCACCGCTGCCCTCATCGTTGAACCCATCTCCAGCTAGCGGTAGCTCGCATCGCCACCTCTAGTAGCACCGGTGTCGCCTCCCAATCAAAGCCCTACCCTTCACTGATGATGAAAGCCCGCCGTTAATCGTAAAATCATAAGAAATTGTTCGATGATCTGTCGTCACCGTCAGTACTGGTGTGAGCATCAGACCATCTCGACCAAAACCCTGGTGGCCGATCATCAAGGCTCCCTATCGTTCATCGTATAGAAACCATCGAAAGTTCATCGGGAAACCAAAGCTTCCCATCGTTTTTTGTTGATTTTCAACCACCCAGGTCGTCCGTTCGTCTCACCATCGCCACTGCTGAAATCCTCTCCTCTTTCCGACCAAAACCAAGTCGATTTGCCCTCTCATCGTCGCTGCCTCCGTCGTCAACAGTTGGATAAGAAGTTCGAACTTGTGTTTCGGCCACCTCGCATCCGTTCGTCTTACCCCGGCCAAAAACTCAATCTATAAAGTTGAGTGAGCAAATTGAAAATTTTGAAAGTACAGTGAGTAAAATAGGAATCATATGAAAGTTCAGTTATCAAATTTATAATTTACCCGTATTATTATTATGTTGAAATCCGATGTGGCATGTTTAATATTAAAATACTCCACATCAACGAGTTGTTAGTGTGATATAACGGTGGAGTGACAAAAAAAAGTTCAATCCATAAAGTTGAGTGAGAAAATTGAAAATTTTGAAAGTATGGTGAGTAAAATAGGAAAATTTCAGTTACCAAATTTGTAATTTACCCAAATTTTATATAAAATGAATATTGGTATAAAATTATAGGATAAATATAAGAGAAAATAACTTCAGTGACCGAAAATGCCTTATAATATACGATTTTAACTAACTTTTTTTGGATTTGCGAAAATGACCAACAAATTCGCAACGCGAACAGATAAATCGCAACGCGAATAGCTAAATCACAACACGAATTTTAGTATTGTTTACCTTGCGAATTTTCAAATTCGCAACGCTAATTACCGATATAGGTAAACAATACTATCGTAATGTAAACAGTACTATCGCAATGTAAACAATACTATCGCAATGTAAACAGTACTATCGCAATGCGATTTTCAAATTCGCAACATTAATTACCGATATATGTAAACAATACTATCGCAATGTAAACAGTACTATCGCAATGTAAACAGTACTATCGTAATGCGATTTTCAAATTCGCAACGCTAATTACCGATATTGGTAAACAGTACTATCGTAATGTAAATAGTACTATCGTAATGTAAATAGTACTATCGTAATGTAAATAGTACTATCGTAATGTAAATAGTACTATCGTAATGTAAATAGTACTATCGCAATGCAATTTTCAAATTCGCAACGCGATTTTCAAATTCGCAACTCTAATTACCGATATAGGTAAACACAACTATCGCAACGCGAATTTGGAAAATCCCGTTGCGATTTACATATTCGCGTTGCGTAATTGGAAACTGTGTTGCGAAATTAGAGTTTGCGTTGCGAATTTGTTGGTCATTTTCGCAAATACAAAAAAAATTGATTAAAATCGTATATTATAAGGCATTTTCGGCCACTGAAGTTATTTTCTCTAAATATAATCGATTAAATATAGAATTATGTGGGGAAAAATTAAATTTTAAAGTCACTTCTTAATGAATCTGCCATTAAGACTCATAGCGTGGCTTGTCCGTGCATGGCTCAATTCACCCAACCCCAACCACGAAATTGAAACAACCCTAAACCCTAAATTTGAACTACTATTCTGGTGGGTTAGTCCATAAAAAACAAAGAATGTCAGGTGGTTTCAGCGGAACAATACAGGAGATGCTTCTGGTGTGCTGGACAGGACCACTAATTAATTTAATTATCTCATTAGTGTCTAATTTCCTCTTAATTACACATGGTTCCCGCTGCTGTTTTCTTGGTTAGTGGTCTTATCCTCTTCTGGAAAAACGCCTGCTAGGATGCTTAATTCTAACGCTAATATACCAAGAAAGATCTTTTTTTTTTGGTTAAACTAATTTTGGAGGTAAAAGTTTTCATTTAGTTGGTCTTAAATTAAATAACTAATTTATAGGATGATTTTTTTTTCATTTAATCAAAAGGTTAAAAGACTTAGATTGAAACTTGTTGAAAATATATATTTTTAAGAATTTTGAGGTTAAGATTTGAACTATAAAATCATGGTTTTATATTATATTTTATAAAACATTTACAATGATATATCATATGCTCAAAATGATTATGTTATAAATGAAAAATTAATGCTCAACGTAAGTTACTAGAGAATTATATTAAGAATAAATAAAAAAAATCTGTATCTCGCACTTAATATCATTTTGATAGGATACCAAATATGAGATATGTTTATATACACGAATCAACTTAAATATATCATTTTGATAGGATACCAAATATGAGTGATATAAAATATACAAATTACCAAAAAAATATATTTTATTCAATTTATTTGTTCACCTTTACTATAAAATTTATGAATATTTCAATTATCACATGTTTTTAATTAGGATTAATATTCTACACACAATCATTTGAGTTAAAACTTCCATCAATAGCTTATATTAAAAAAACACTTTCATCAACAAAATTAGACGAATTCAATGATTATCATGTGTCATAATATAGTATTTTAAAAATAAAGATGACTAAAATAAATATATATATCGATAATCTAATTCTACTTATGACATTTT